ACGCCTAGTGCTGGATATCTACGTATATAAGAGGACCCTTTGACCAAAATTATCTCCTTTCACGAAATATGGATATTCTCTTTAATTTTTTTTATATTTGCCCGCGGAGTTTTATATGGGACACCCTGTATATATAGTTGGCATATAATATAAAATTTGGGAAAAAAACCAAACTCATAATCTCAGAGAGAGAGAGAAAGAGACAAAGCAAATCGAACTGGGAGGTGAGTACGTTTTTGTTACATGGTATAACAAACGATTCCAATAACGAATCTATAAATACATAGTAATATTTCAGAAACTATCGGGATTCAAAAAAATCCAAGTACATATATGATACTTCGGGTTTTGCAATGTAATGATTTATACAAAAAAGTCCTCACGATGAATCATTTGTTACATTACGAAAAACGTATTTGTAATATTCAGATCAAGGGTATATAAGGCTCAATTTAATTGGATATCGAAACTGACAATTGATATCGCGAGCCTGCTAAAAAAATATATAAGTTGAAACTAAAATCACCAATGATTTGACACCTCAATGATCTAACAATACTTTTTATTCGGTTGGGAACTCCCTTCATATTTTTATTACATAATTATATGTTATAGTAATCTCAAGACCGACCTGTTAGCGGTGAATTATATGCAGTACCAAGAAATCATTATCCTTTTCTTACTTTCGGAGATGAACGGGTAGAACCGACATGCTTGAAAATTCACGTTCTTCTATACAGGTTATGTTAATAACCTCGAAAAAATCTTGGTCTGTATTGCGATAGAATTCAAGTAGAAAAAAGGAATTAGAAGTTTCTTAGATTTTCATACACTATACGATATGGAAAGATATCTTCCGAAGGAATTAACTATACAGGGTGGGCCATCGAAAACTTGACATGGAGGTTTCGGGTACCAATCTTGCGAATCCTAAAAAACGCTCAGACAGGTCGATTTCTATTGTGATTATTATGAAAGAATTCCAAATACATTCCAACTGAGCAGTGGCGTACAACAATTTGTTGCTATTAACAATATTGAAATAGTTAATTATCGGAAAAAAAGAACTCTTTCAAATACGTCCAAATTTTAAAAAATGTACAATATTGTTTAGAGAATTCCAAGATCTTTCAAATGAAGTGCGACTCGCCATCTATTCCCTATTTCAAGGGTTGTTCACCCCTCTGTTCCGGGGTTTAAGTGACGATGCTGTAAATGATGGAAAAAACTGTCCCCCTCCTGATAAAAATCGACCTGCTTGAGCGTTTTTCCGGATTTGCAAGATTAGTACCCAAAACCTCCATGTCAAATTTTCGACGGCCCATCCTGTATAGTTTAACTAAAAATCTCGAAATTTCAAAAACTTGTGATTAATATATCATGAAGTTATTGATTGTATCCACCTACATTTTATTCCAAATAGTAATTTAGCTTCTTAGGTGAGCACCAATATATTTTTTCATAAAGAAAATGATTTTTCCCACATGGCCCTCAGCTTTATAATAATATAATCGAGCAACTTGAAAAATCTACGGCTGTTGCGATTGGTATTTCCAAGACCTCTGACCATGTCAGGCATGCGGTGTTATTGTCTAAACCTTCATGTAGTATGATCATTTATACAGTGTGTAACAACGAAACCTTAACAGAGCCGTTTTTGAATATAAAAAGTAAGATTTTTAAAAAAGCTCGGACACGTCAATTTCTAATTAAAAGTGGACACTCATCAATAATTCTATGACGTAATTCATCCAAATTGGCTGGCTGTGTAGCATAAACTTTAGACTTTAAATATCCCCACAAAAAGTAGTCCAGTGGTGTTAAATCTGGTGATCGTGCTGGCCATTCAATTGGACCTCTTNAATGCGTCACACTATATCTTGAACTATACATACATGGACTCCAACTTCACGTTCGTTAAGTTTACTTAAATTAATGAAAATTTTATATTAACCTTGATTTATTACCTATAAAAATAATTTCAACTAATTAAAAGCTAATTCATATACACGTTAAGACCGACACTGACCAAACAAATACAGAAGATTCATAAAAATAGTCATAATATCAATAAATAAACATATCGCCCCTAAAATATATTCCTCAGGCGACAACGCAATCCTTCCGCCCCCCATAATCTGTTGCGTATCATACAACAAATACAAGCAAAACAACACAGTAGCCAAACACGCATAAATAATATAAGCGATGTTCGATCCAATTAGCAAAGTGATTATCAAAGCTATTATTCCATAAACGATCAACACCACAGACATAAAACAGAAAATCGTACCCCACGTGGTCACATCGAACCAGTTCATCCACGCGATGAAAGTTACCACCAAGCAAATCAGAGCTGTGCTGCCAACAGCTAGAAGAACGGCCTCTTCGGTGACGTTGCAAGCCAACACTGCAATAACGTACGCCAAAGCAAACGTCAGCAGAAACAATAAAAAAAAATTCACAGGAAACATCCTCCTGGCAGCTTCGTAGCAGAAGAGAGTTATCTCTAAAACGAATAGGATCACCGTTGCTAACACCATCATCAGCATGTTGG